CCCTGTAGATGAGCCCTGGGTTCTCTGCTCCACAAGGCAGCTCCTTGTCTTCTTGCACACCAGGGAAGTTGGCCCCATCTTTTGACTCTGCTCTGCAAGAACGTCCACACGGACTAAGTGACAGGACAACCTCAGCCTGTGAAAGCCAGGGGCCAAAACTAAGGGGTGTGCTATTACATCCACCCTGCCTCTGCTGGGCATGCAGACACCAGACACAGGAGTCAGTGACAGTGTCACCTCACAGCCACCACAATTGCCTTGACCCAGAGGATGAGGAGGCACCTCTTCCTGCTGTTTCATTAGGCATTGGATAGGTCAAAAATAAGGATAGTCCCTTGGTACTAGAAGGAGTCATCCAGATGTGAAAGAAGGAGCTCTGAGGTTATACAGAAGGGACAGATGGCAGATGGAGCATCTCCCTACAGCATTTCTGGAGCCCAACCAGAGGGTGGCTGGTGGGTATCTGGGCAAGAGGAAATTGCCCTGTTCAACAGGCACAAGCCCTAATACATTGATCAGGGTCTGCCCTCCTTAGGGTATTTCCCTTTCTGAAGCAAAAGGCCCCTCCTAGGGAAGGCTCTGTGTGGCAGGGGCTGCTATCAGAAAGGGGGGAGGTCACTTCTGCTGTCAGCATTTTTTCTTAAGGAGAGGGTATTGAGTGCCAGGATTTCGTTAATCACATTTCATGTGCATTTTAAAACCCTTGAAACCTTAACTTTTTAAGAACATCTCTTGCTTCTCTGCCACCCGCCCTGTAATCTGGCAGGGGTGGCCTCTCATGCCTGCTCTCCCTCTGCCCTTCCCGGGACCACCTCCTTCCACTCGCACTGACCCACTTTAGCCGTCAAGATTTACAGCCAGCGGCTCACCCGGGGAGAGAGGCTGGATTCAGGGAATAAATTTGCAGAGCCAGGGAGCCAGCCGGGGACTGAGTGAGCAGGAACTGGCTCTCCAGGGGAGCGAGACACCCACACCCACATACACTGGGAGAGGCGAGAAACCTGCCGGGGAGGGGACTGGGAGTAAAGAATGCTAAGACAGCACACATTGACAGCATGAATGGATTAGAGAGGGAAAGGGAGAAGAAAACAAGGCAGGAAGGCAGCAAGGGAGGAAAGGGCAGGAGGCAGTGGAAGGGAAGGTCCCACCAGCCAGGCAAGGAGACAAAGCCCACCACAGAGCAGCTGCTGCTTTTCAGGTTTTGCACTGCAAGGGGAATGGGTGATATGGGAGGAGGCTTAATCTTAGCACAGGGGGAATCTGCTACCCAGGAGGGTGACAAGGGTCATGGGTAGGGCAGGACAGGGAAGTTGCTGGCTTGGAGGAGGGAAGGGGGACGCTTGGAGGATGAGTCCCAGTTGAGGGCTGCTGGGACTGAGCTGTAGAGAGTGAATGGAGGGATGGAGGAGGCCGAGCATTTGGAGATGCCTCAGCATTTCAGGGATTATTTAAAATGAACAGTGAGCTCCTTTGAGGTTCACCTCATCTGATGGAGCAGCCCCAGCTCCTGACAGCAGAGCAGAAGCAGCTGCTGTCCCAGAGTCCCGGCAGAGGGATGGAAAACCCAAGCATGAGATCCAGAGGGCTGCTACAAGGAAATCCACGTGGCAACATCAGAAAGCCATGCTGGGGCTGAGCTCACAGGCAGACAGGCTTAGCCCTCAGAGGGCAGGGAATCACTGTCTGTGTCTCTCTCTATTTTCCCTGATTTTATTGTGTTTTGTTTAATTGAATCACACACACACATGCACACAAAGCCCCAACTTGTGGTGTAAAGTCTGTAAGGAAACAAGCAGCAAATTAACGTTCCAGGAGGAGCAATGCTAAGCAAACACATGACACTCTGCACGAGCTGCAAGCGGGAATGAAACAGCAGGAAGAAAGAGGAGAAACCGGCAGAGAGGGAAGAGGAAGCTGCAAAATGGTTTTCCAAGGAGAAATTGAGCCCAAAAAAAGCAGAACAAGGAAATGAGGAAAACCTGAGAGGAAAAGGGAGAGAGCAACACAGATGGTTCTGGTGATTTCTATAAGGTCACTGTGCCCAAACTCTCACTGATCTCTGTGTGGAGCAGTTTGGTGCGACAGGGAGAGAAAGCTCACACAACTTGGGCCTGGGGGATAGCTGGGCTGAAAGGACATGGCTCAAAGTCCAAGGGGTCCTTCACTGCACTTCTGCCCAAATATGAACAAAAGACCCCTCTGGACCCAGCACCCAAGTCCACCTAGGCCGCTGTCATGACCAGCTTAGCTTCTCCTGGCATGGTAATTATATCCTTCCCTCAGCTCTCATCTCAGCCTGGACCCCCACTCTCCTTCCTCTTGTGATGTCTGGTGTACCTTCAGCTCCACAAAGATGCTTATCCTCAAAAAATATTGGATACTGCAGTATGATGGACATTCTGCAGTGATGGGGTGAGACCATGATATGCTGGGGGATGTGCTCCAGCAATGGCACCATCCAAACACAGGAAAACCACTGCAACCTTCAGCCCAGCCCAGGCAGCCAACCAGCAATCTGTGACCTCTGCAGAGGGCAGAGACACCAGAGGGAAAGGAGCATCTCCATGTGCAAACAGGCAGCTCCCTGGCTTTTCCTCACCTCCCAGCTCACTCCAGCTCATGAGGGGCTGGGAGGCAGCACAACGCTGATCAGCCACTCCACAAGATGTGATGCTCTTCAGGACAAGAGAAGTGCAGGGTTAAAGGACATGAGCATCCTGCCCAGGCTTGCTGTGACAGGCCTCACATGTGTTTAGTCACATCCAGCTATGAAGCCACTCTGGAAACCAAGACATTTATTCAAAGGAGCAGCAGCACTGCACACACATCTGCCTGTGTGAAGGAGAACTTCAAAAGGGCTGACAGTCACAGAGCCCAGCAGTAACCTTTGGCTAATTAGCTGTCTTGATTTCCTTGAGGTTTATTTTTACACTTCTTGGGCTCTGAAATGCATTTACTGTAATGTCAGAAAGGCCATGGTAAATATAAAGCTTTCTAGCAATAACTATACCCACCCTACCAGGCTTTTGGGACTGACAGCTTGGCTTGGGCCAGGCTGACAATGCTTTGCTGAGGTTTTTGTCTTGCACAGGACTTACAGAGACTGTGATGGTGGAAATGATAATGGTGCCTGGGGCAAAGCAGGTATCTGTATGGAGCACAATGAGCACAGAGCAGAGGGCATATGTAATGGTGTTTTCCTGAGGTCAAATCACAAACGAGCAGGAAAGACAGAGGGATGAGGAAGCCTGCAAGGATGCAAAGCCATGAGCCAGCTCAGGAAGGAGAGGTGAGGTCAGGCAAAGCAGGCAACCAGAAAGGTGTGAGTGATGCTGAACTTGCAGAGAGGAGGAGGTGGGACCCCATTCTAAGCATTAAAGAAATCATCAGATGGAGTTGTTGCTCAGAGAGGCTGTAGAAGCCACAGAGCCTTCCTGCTCTGGGGCAGATGAGAAGGGAGCCAAGAAAGACACCCTTGTTAGATCTCAAACAAGAAGGGATTTTCAAGCCCCAAGTCCCTCTCAGTAGGGACATGCAGTCCATGCTTGCAGAGCATTTGCCTTCTGCAGGCTCCAACCCTGGTGCTGGGCACAAACACAGGACCCAGCAGAGCTGCACTGTCAGGAAACGGGAAGGGTAAGAAAACAGCTTCATTATCTCTGCTGATCTCCAGCACAAACCACTCAACATGTGGCTCCCCCTGGACTGTGCACAGAGAAGATCAGTGGAAAGAAACCAGAGAAGAAACCAGTGCATTAATGATCAGAAACGAAGCAAAGCTCCTCTGCCCCCAGATCTGGCAAGGAGACTTCCGAGTACCTTCAGATGGGTGGCAGGCACCCAGCACTTCAAACAGCCTCCCCCCTCCTGTCTGGCTGGGTGTCACTCTCAGGACTGTTCTGGGTACCAGTTGGGAGAACTCGGTGCCAATTAAAATCCAGGCTCTCGTATCCTTTGAACTGCAGAGAAACAAAACTTGTGAATTCAACCTTTGCCTTTTTTTTCCCCAAATGATGTCAGGAGTTGAGGAGACAGAACAGCTCTGAGTGCAATTGCTGTTGAAAGCTGCTGGCTATTTCAGCGTGCTGCTTGAACTCCACTGGTGGAGGCTGCGCTGGCATCGGTAGCTCCAGATCTTTAATTTTAAGGGTCAAATCATTATAGACTCTCTCAGGGAAGTTAATAGGAAGTTTACCTTTGACTCAGCTATGTAAAATCAACAAGAAATTCCCATCTGATCGTAGTGATACACTGTCCCATCTCTAATCCTAAGCATTCCTTCCTACAAGTCAAACTCATGTTACATTTTCATTTTTAAGCCCACTCTTACAATTAGAGCTTGTGCTGCCTGATCAGAACCAAAATGTCTCAGATGACTGGCATTGGGACAAAGGGCTTGATTTAGGGGCTGACTTCAGCCAGCACTCAAATCTGAGTCTCCCCTCTTCTGCTGAGGTTCAGGTATTTCAGGACTGAGCTCTCTGCTGGGATAATGCACCTGAAAGGCACAGCATGGCTCTGTTCAGCCCCTGGGTGAGCAGCCAGTTGGGCCCTGACTGCTCCTGAAAAACTCTTTGGCTTTCACCCAAGCACCTTAAAAGCCCTTTGTACCAACAACCTGCACCTGAGTTGCTTTAAATGATGAATACCATGGGCACAGTTTCAAAGCATCTTAAATATCACCAGGTTTGTGAGCAGAGCAAGGCACTTTGGAGCCTACAGTCTTAGCACCCCACACAGGGTGATGGTGAGCAACAAGCACTGAAGGTTTCAGTGACAAGGAAGGAGTTATTACATTGCTCCAAGCAGACAAGGAGAGACATGCAGCACCGAGCCCCCACCCCCATCAGCCCTTTCATTGCCCATCCCCATGTACCTTGGACAGGTGTCTGTGATGTCTGTGCAATCCCAGCCCTCTGGCATGGCCAGAGCCATGCCATGGTACAGGGAACTTTTAAAGGAGTGGGTGCCATTCAGGAAGGGAGGTCATGCATATATACCTGCATATATATTATTAATACCCTCCACATGACAGCTGCTGGCTGTATCTACAGACTCTCTCCACTGACGCCTCTCTCTGAGTCATGGCTGTGTAAAGCTCCTTGACAGACCTGGAGGATGAGAGATGTGGTAAAATCCCAAACATGAGTATTGCATCAAAGGTACTGTGATTATCAGAGCACAGATAAATAACAGCTTCCTCACAATTTCAGGGGTGGAGGTAGTGCTAGAGCTGTCTAACCAGGCTCCTGGAGCTTTCATCCCAGTGGGGTGGCAGTAGCAGAGATTCCATATATCCAGGGACACTGTGTCAGTGCCTGTGGCTCCAGGGCCAGTCCAAGATGCTCCACTGGGGTGCAATGGAGGTGTCTGTCCATGATGCTGGGGAACTCAGCAAGGAGCTGGTGGGTGGACTCGAGTGGGATTTCTCCTGCATGGAGAGCTCTGACAGCCCTTCACGCATGCCTGGCTGCGTAAGTCACTCTTTGTTTAGCTGAGACTTTTAGAGGCTGTTGCACACTAATGGTGGGAGACTGCCCCACAGATCTCCACATATGGACACAGGTGAGCTGGAGCCCAAGGCACTATGCGGTGCAAAATGAGAAGGGATGGCTGAGTCTCCCCTCTCCCAGTGATTTTCCTTTTTTTTTCACTACCATTATTTTCCCCAGGCCTTTCACCTGCTCTAAATCTGCTGCTGTCTCAGCCACCCAAGATGTGGGAAGGACATATGAGCATCCTGATGGAAACAACAGCCACTTCCAACAGCAGGTACTCTGCACTGCAACAGGCAGTGGACATTTACAACCACTATTCCAACAAGTCCTTGAGGCTGGACAGAAGGTTTTACACCCATATGATGCTGGAGTTGTGCTCTGGGGGATAGCTGTGGTCCCAAGGAATCAGGACCCACATATAGCCCTGCTCTGCAGCACTGGGGACCTAAACTGGGGAAAGACCCCACCCCACTCTGGGAATAGGCAAGAAGCAAGACACCAAGAAGGATCATTTCTTTCATAGTGGGTTTACTAGCAGAGAACTCTGCTCCTTCCAACTCCATCTCTCTGCAGAGTCAGTGACTCCTCCCACCATGTATTGCATTTTATTCTATAAGTGCAAAGCAGTTTCCATTGAGGGTAGGGACACTGAAACACAGAGAAAGAGGAGAATAACATCTTATCTTTCTTTAATCCCCACCATCCCAAAGGATCCTGGTGTCGTTTGCTTTACTTTCTATATGTATGCACAGTTAATTAGCATTACCATAGAACTGCAGGTATTCTCAGACTTAGTAGAGGGAATATCTTGTAATAGAAGGGTAAGCAAATTGTTTCTGCTGTTTCCATTACAGCCAACTTTGATTATCCAGGGTAATGGGATAACAGGGACAAAGCAAAAACAGTGATAACATGAGACCTATGCAAATTAAGCTAGGGATAAAAAAAAACGGATGCTGAGAGTAATGGGGGAAAAAAAGGTCAGTGATACTGATTAAGAAGCATGCAGATCCCTGCACAAGCACTGCCCTAAGCTCAAGAATCCATACACAGTGGTCCCTGGGCACAGGAGTTATGGAGCAAACCTGTAGGGTCTGTCACTGTGAAAGGGAAGCAGAGACATCCCCTGCACAGTAAAGCTGAGCTGCAGCTGAGGGAGGCGAATTGCATTAACGCCGAGCATTTCAAAGCCTCTCTGTGAGGGATTTGTCATTAAAATGAATAAGATTTGGGCACTCAACCCACCTCCTCTCTACATGAGCAGGAAGAAGCCCAATTTAAAGGTCAGCGTCTTAATGGTTTTTGCTGTGTATATACCAGGATAATTCCTCTCCAAACAGAAATCCAGCACCTCCTCGGTGAGCCACAGCCAGTGTTTGAAGGAGCACAACAAGAGCATTCACAGCTGAGGAGGTACAGGAATACAGCCAGCTATAGCTTCTATGTTAAAACACGAGGGGAGAGGCTAAGAGGAGCAAAGAGATGACTTCAACTTCATTTCCTGGCAATATGGCCCAAGCTGAGGGAAGGGAAAACACTTGAGTTCCTCTGTAGTCCCCCATCTCAGAAAAGACCGGATTCACTCTGCTCTGCCAAAGGGGATTTCAAATCCTCGGCACCAATATCGTGGAGGCAGCTCTGAAAAATCTCTGGTTGTGGGTGGATAAAAAGGGCACCAGTGGAGGAGATGAGACAGAAAGAAGAGAGGGAGGAATCTTAGAGGAAGATGAACCTTCTTAATAGGTTTTATTGATTTAACCCAAAGAGAGAACAGTAGGGGGAAATTCATGCCATTTAAATGCAAACCAGTAATAAAAATAATCATTACAGTCATAATCTCAATCTGTTAGCATTTTATGTAGAAATGATCTTAATGGGAAATATTTTCCGTGTAAACTATTTGCATTTACTTAGTACAAAGGAGCCTCTTAAATATAACTCAATCATTATCACAGATTTTTTTTCAGGGATTGTTTTCAGTCCTCAGTTCTTCCAAGTACCTGATGATTTCACAGCCCCTATAGAGACTGACTTGGAGAAGCTGCTGGCCCACCCTAGCTGGGACCTGCTGTCTATATCCCTGTGGATGTTCCTGCTTCCGTACTGGAAATACATGTGGATTTCAATGGCAGTTAGAAATCATCACTCTCCACCCAAATGGTGATTAGACTTTGTGACCGGCCAAGGAGACTGCATCACTTGTTCAGATCTTGGGAGCTTTAATTGAGGAAAAGCAACTTCAGAGCATGTTTCCAGGGCCTTCATCTTCCAGACAAGTGAGAACCACCTGACCACCTCTTTTAGCTTTCCCTCTTGTAAAAGAGGAGGAAAATGAGGGTTTTTCCCTTTGCAGAGGAGCTGCAGGGCTGGCAGTGAAGATCCCGGATGGGAAGCCCTTTCCTGGTGCAGGAGAGGAGATTGGATGTGTCCACCTGCATCTCAGAAGGAGCTTTTCTGGTCAGTGCCTTGTCCCCAGGATCAGCCCCCGTGGGGACACGGTGCTGCCCACGTGCAGGTGCTCAAGGGAGGTCACCGTCCTTGTGACTCCCACGCTATGCACATCTCAGCCACAAAGAAATAAATACCCTCTTCTGCCTGGGGACACCTTTTAATCTTCTTGCTAGATTTTCATACACTAGTCCAGACTCTCAGCTGGGCCAGGCATGATCTCATTTAGCATTCCATCCACAGAGTCTGCTAAACCAAAGCTGCTATTTTTATGCCACGTGCTGGTAGGGACTGGGGTCGGTCTCATTGATGACACCAGGAGGTTCCTACCACCCATTCCATCTGCCAGTACTTTGCTCCAGAGGTGAAAACATCCCATGGAGGTGGCCACCTGGACCAGCATCCTCAGTTGTTGGGAAGCTCACCAGGCCCCTACAGACCCACTGGTGGCAGGACACTTGTGGGCAGCAGGTGCCAGAGCAGCAGCAGCTCTCCAGTGACCAGGCAGCTGCCAGATTGCTGCTGTGCCAGGGGTTGCATTGGCAGAAGCCACCACAGTTCCTCAAGTGGGTCTGGCCCTATGTCCACAGCCTGTGGAGCTGGTCTGGCCCTGTGTCCACAGCCTGTGGAGCTGGTCTGGCCCCTGATACACTGCTCATGGCCAGGTTTCCAAACGCACACCGGACCTCACGCTGCGCAGGTAATTCAGGCTCGCAAGGGGGTTATTAAAATCCATTCAAAGCCACTGACAGCCTGTTCAGTGTTAATGTCAGTGGCTGAGAGGCACAGCAGGAGCAGGTGGAGAAGGACTTTGATTCCCCCACTCTAATTTCAAAGCGGGGTGGGCTTGGCTGGCAGCGATGGGAAATGGGGAGCGGTGGCGGGTGGGAGCGTGTGGTGCCGTGTCGTGTCTCACAGAGCAGACAGGTGGGATTCACCGTTTAATCCCATCAGCCAAACATTTCACTCCATGTTTTGCTTGACAGCATCTATCCCTTGCTGGCCATTTCAGAGGCACATTAGCTGCCAGGATCCCAGCAGGTGAGTCTGCCTGAGCAACCAGCTCCGGTGCAGCGGCTGAGAGGGGGCTGTTGGTGCTGCTCCACACTGGGCTCCATCAGGTCCTGCAGGCAGATTGGGCATCACACCCAGGCACTTCCCATAGGGTGCATTTAGGGGTTCATAAACCTCTTCCCCCAAGTTCAGCCCTCGGTCTGTGCTAACTCGCAGCCCTACGAACCTGCCAGGGTCGAAAGCAGAGCTGGAATTTGCTCATGTCGGTCAGGTGAGTCCAAACCATCCCCTGGATTTTGAAAAAATCTGGGTAATTTCAGGATGTGGCTAGCATCATGCAGGCTAAGATAAGAGTAATCAGAGCTCCGGGCCATAAGCCGATTCCTTGCATATGACAGGAAGGAATTAGCCCCGTCTCCCCACCCTGTGCCTCCCAGCAGCATTTGTACACATGGGAGCACACCTGGCAGGAGGCTGAGCCACAGGGACACGCATGTCCCATCCTTGCCGGAGACAGAGTGACAAGGATCCTGCGCAGGCAGTGCAGAAATCCCATGGGCAGAAGGAAGGGCACGGACAGCACAAGAAATCTGCTCCAACCGTGGTCTGCAGGGCAGGTATTGCCCTACCTCCTTGCACCAGCACACTGGTGCTGGGACCCCCAAGGTCTCCTTCCCACGAGGTCCCTGCTCTGGTTTTCTCCTGGTTTTGGCATCTCTTTGCAGCGGGGATTCCTCCACACTGGCTGAGAAATGCATTGCAGTCTCTTAATAGCTCATCCTGGCTGGAAGCTTTTCCTCGTATGTAAATACAATGTGTATAACAGTGGCCTCGTTTCGTACTATGGAAGTGCATCAGACGCAGCTAAATGTACTGAAGGTGGCTTAAATGATCCAAATTTAACATTTGGTTATGTAGGCTGAATATTTCAGTGAGTTTTTAGGTTAGAAGGTGCTGTAATTGGGAGTCTGACCTCCCGGATAGTGAATTTTACCCAGGAATTTAAAGCAAGTCTGACCATTAAGCTTCATCCTTCTGACAGACAAAAATTAGTCTGGTTCATAAGCAAGGGGGGCAGCTGCTGGAGGCAGACTGGTTACAAGCCACAACATCAAAATGTTGAACAACATCTCTGAAGGGAAGCAGGTCCTGGCTGACAATACTGCCATAAACCAGGTTATTTTGCTTTAGTTTGCCTCATTTGTGAAATGAGGGTAACAAACAGTTCTGAGGTCAAAGCCAGAGTTCAAAAGCAATATTTAGGCCTTCTGTTTTCACCTAGGAAACTGCTGCTATTCAAAAATCAAGTTTTAGAGAAAAGTGAAACTCTAATGGTTGCCAGCAATCAGCCAGATGGGTCAATGAGGTGGTTTAGGGTGACAGGACCACTGAGGAGATGTGTGGCACCAGCAGACCCAAGTTCCATCCCATGTCCCTGGGGAGAGGGGCCAGGGAGGTGGGAAGGAGCTGCATGTCCCTGCAGCCGGCATCTCGTGCCACGTGGCAGGTTACCAAGCAGCTGAGAGCGGGCAATGATGCCTTTTGCCAGTTTTCTAATTTATCTAATGAGCAAGAAAATAAATCAAGCTGACAGTCACCCAGGTGGTTTTGAGCCTCAGCTCCTCACTGTCCCCTTGTTCTTCCAGCCCATTTTATAACAGGGTTACAACCCGAGGACACTGCACTAACTCCTGCTATAATCTTTTCTTTACTAACGTCACTTAGCAGATGGAGTCATTTAGATGTGCTCACGTTTAAATGAGTGGCTTGCCCTGAAAGGGACAGAGCTGGGGCTGCTGGCAAGGTTTTCGGGATCGTTAGCCTAGAAAATGCTTAGCAGGGGAAGCAGTTGGCAGGCAGATTTCACGGACATGGCACCGCTGTCCTCTGCCAGCAAAATTACAAGGCTGAAATCCTGGAGCTGGATGGGGCCAAACTGTTCACAGCAAACAATTTAATTGATGAATGAAGTGAATTGCCCAGGAGACGGTTTTTAGTCATCTGCTCATTGCATGAAGCTGCTTGGAGAAGGGTTTGCACAGTCGGGTGTCGCCGGATACCTGCCCACACCAGGGATGGGCTGGATGGGGCTCCCCATCATGGGAACCTTCACCAGAGTCACCTGCTCCCTGAACGAGCATGGCTACCTCCAGGCTTGCCAATCCAAAGGTGTTATGCTTCCCTACAGATGTTACAGTTCTTAAGCCTTGATGACTGGACCAGTGATGGGATCACGCAAAAGATCTCGGCACTTGGTGCTTGAAAGGGAGCTTGCACAATGTGAGGAAGAACAGCACCAAACTAAACAGCAAAACCTACTTTTCAGTTCCTGCAAGACATTCAGTGGCAGTCTCAAAGGTCTCTCCTGTCTAGCTCCCTGACCCCCTGCACAAGGCTACCTCCATAAGCTCCTTTCATTTGGTCTAATAAAGTAAATTAGCTCTCTGGCTCTTCCAAGGAGAATAGCCACGAAAATGTACATTGAGATGAATGCCTACAACCTTTGAAAATACCTCTTGCTTATGAAAAGGCTTCTGAGGAATGAAAAGAAGAGACAATAATTACCAAAGTAGGAGGAAATATTGTTCATGCTGCCTGGGCAGCATTTGACCCAGCCCTTGCAAAGGCTGGGGAGAAGAAGGAGGAAGAAGGCAGGGAGCTGAGACACTAATGGCAATCATTGCTCTGTGGGGAGCAATACCTCACAGTGTCCATGGAGATCAATCCCAAATTATTCAGCCTAATAGTTCTCAAAACAAACTCTTATTCTACTCCTTTGTGGCAGGCATGAAGCTTTCTCTGCAAGGCCCATTTTACATCTTCACTAACTCAGTGCTGGATGGTATAACACTGCATTGTAAAATCCCTGCAGGAGCCTTTGATGCCGGCATCTTCCAGATCGAGACACAGAGCTTATCAGCTCAAATAACACAACTGTCTTTTATCCTTTGTGTCCCAAGCCTGCTGTTTTGGCACTTATATTTGTAATTCATTGCCTGGCTCTGGGTCTGGATCCATCAGGACAGGCAAACTGTCTATCTGTCTGCATTGCTGAGATATTTGTGTCTGCCCTGAGGAACCTGAGTACTTAAGCTCTGCTTATCTTCATTGATGTTTAGGTTCCTAATTGGTTAAAAGTCATTTTGGAAAGGTGGTCTTAAGAGCTGTAGACTTGTAGATGCTTTCAAATCAACCACCCCCAGGCCAGGCTGTCCATCTTTCCTTCCCTCCCATCAGAGACTGCATCCTCATGGTCTGGTCTGGCTTTCAGGGATGCCCAAGCACCTGCTGTCCCTCCCTTCCAGGCCAGTTCCAACCTATGGACCTGCCTGCCTTTCACCAGCACTACATTTTGCTCAAAAATGACAAATGAGGTAGAAGAAGAAAAGGTGAAAACATGATAATGGCTGAGGGGAAAAGGCCGCTGCTATAGATTTTACAATGCTGGAAATAGAGGCTCAGAGAAAAAGTTTTTCTCCAAAAATTACTCTTTTCAATCTCAACAGAACACTGAAAGGAAGTTTAAGCAGACTTTTTAACACCTTTTGTACTCAAATTCCAAATTCACCTGTCTACCCAAGCAATAACAGAAATAATCTTTTTTTATCCAGCTGTACATTTTGCTACAGAAATTTGTTTCCATTAAGCTATTCCCTTTTGTCCTCTTAAAAAGCATGTTTTAAATAATAACAGTGTAAAAAAAAATTATATACTACCCAAAAACTCAACCCTGTCGACTGTGCACTCTCATACAAAAGTTATCTCCTTCTTTCAATGGATTGATGAAAACCCTTTTCATAATGTTAAGGTGGAGATGAGAAAGAGAGAGAAAATTTCTAAGTGCCCAGCACAGCTAGTCATTTCAACAGGAAACATGGGGCAAAATCTGGTCTTAGAAAACTGAGTTAAAGCATCAACATGAACCCGATGTTCTTTTTCTGCTCTGTAAAACAGAATTTTGTAGAAGTTGGGATGGAGGCAAACACTATATTTCTCATCTGCAGGGAAAAAAAGTGCTTTCTCCATACTCCTTAAATCTCAAAAGAAGAATGTGAATCCAGTCTTAAAAAATTAACTATTAAAAATACAACCATGATGATTTTCACTGCTACGACACTTTCAGGAGTGCAGCAGCTGCAGCTCAGCCACTCAGGGTTTCCCTGGGAAGGTCAACACTTGGACAGCACTCAGAGAAGAGTCCCACCAGGAATCACCCTGAGAACAGCAATGTGAGAAACACAACCCTGGATCACTGTCTCTTCCCTACTGGAAATGAATGCCATGAGGCTCCCCTTCTCCATCCACGCCTGGGGAGGATTTCCTGGTGCTGGAACCCTCCCCAGAAGGACGTGCTCCATCCCTGCTGGCTCTCTCCCGTGGCCAGCTGTCTCACACAGCTACTTCTCTCACTGCAGAGATGCCACTGACAAGGTCACCCCTTACCTTTGAGCCTGTGTGTCACTGCTGGTCCTGGCTACAGTCATGAACGTCTCCTAGTTGTTGTCTGCAGGGGCTGGGAGCCACACTGGACACAGCATCTGGGGTCCCACAAGGTGGTCACCACGCCCAGTATTTGAACTGCAAGGAAAAAAGAGAAAATATAAGAGGGAGTTTCATCAGGCGACATAAAAGATTAATAGATTGATTGATTGATTGATTGATGGCTTGATTAACATGAAGCCATCCCAAGGACAGCATGGCTGCTCAAGTTATGGATCAAACACAGAGACACGGGGACCAGAGGTGAAAGGGAGGAGGACCAAAGGGAGGTCCAAATGAGATCAGCTGCTCAACAGAGTAACGAAAGGGGAAAAGAAATTCACTGGAAGGGGACCTGGGACTGAAGTAAAAAGAATGGGACAAATGCCAGACAGTGATGGAAAAAGATGCAAGGAAGATGGATAGCTCTGGGCATGCACAGGGCAGATGGTACAAGACATCAATGCCAAGCTCCTGGAGGAGTGAGGAGCCACTGCCACCACCAGCATCAGCCACCCAGCACGGACAGGTTTTAATAAGCTTAATAATCATCCTTACACTGCAGGATTGGTCTCATAAATGTCTTTTTAAATCTTAACTGTGATTTTATTGCTCTCAGTTGTCACTTTGAACCCCCTCCTTGTTTTTCTATTACTTTTGGATGCCTGGCTGGTCAGGGCTGTCTGTGCTTCCCACTGCTGTCAGTTCCTGCTCACCTGTGATGTGAGAAAACCAGTATAGCAAGAAGGAGTGACACTGAGCGTAACAGTACTCATCTTTGTGGTATTCAATGTCTTGTTTTATTACCATCAACATAATAACAATAATAGCAATATTAGTGACAACCATTTTGTTGCTCCTCCTGCCAGTAATATTCAGACATGACCTAAGAGGTATTTCAGAAAGACAACACAAATCCAGTGCAAGATCCAGGAGAACAGGGCAGTTAATTAAATGTCAGAGTGATGGACAGAGCTGGGACAAGCCTGGAACAATATCAGAGAGCTGGACAACCTCTGACAAGCGCAGGGAGATGGATGGATCTGGGACACGTCCCAGACCTCTCCCCAGCAGAGGCAGAACCCTCCTACCCAAACGCATCTTTAAACACAACATCACTCCCTTTCTGTCACTGTTTCATTGACTTATGCAGGTGAGGAAATTTTCTGGGGAAAGCTGCCTTCTAAGCCATGTCACTGATCACAGCCAGGTCTAGTGACATTTTATTACCTCCAAATGGTGCAAAGGAAATAAAGAGCCCCATTGAGAATGACAGTGTCTTAAAAGTGGTTTTTACCAGCTTATGTGTGAATTCACAGCAGGTAGGGCTTTATTTCACAGAAGATTTCTTCTCCTTTTTCCAAACCAGATAATCGTAAGATAGAGGCCAGGGAATGGGGAGAGAGAATGGCAGCTGGAGAGTGTTCCAAAACTCCAAGAATATTAGAGAACAAAAGGAAGCCTGTGACAGATATGGGGCAATCTGTAAGTCATCAGAAGAGTGGAGAGTATAATAGACTAATCAATCAGGTAGACAAGGGTGAGAAGTGTCACGGGGAGGCAATAGGTAGTTGGAGGTCAGTTATGAAATATAATCTCTAAATTGGAAGGAGAAGGGCAAAAGCACAGAACAATGACAGGTATTTGAATGCAGGTAGGTGAACACTGGATTGGTGATTTCCAGGAGAGTGAATGTTGGATGGGAATATTATGGGGGTAAGGAAAAATAACCTGGTGTTTGAGAGATGGGCACGTATTCTGTAAAGTGAAAGGCTGAACTGGCAAGACTTTTAAAGTGTTGTTCCATTTCAGAAATTGCTGCTGGAAGACGGACGGTGCTTGTTCCTCTGGGTTTCCAGGCAAAGTTTGTCAGGTTAGGAGCAAAAAAAAAAAGCGATGACTTTCCTAAACCTAAGTCCTGCAAATACCAGCTGGAATCTGAAAGCCAAACAGATACTTTCTAGCTTGTGCTTTCTCATCAGTGATTCTGGCATGCGTAATCTCTAATCCATTTAGCTGAGATGCAGGGAAGTTGCATGGTGCCACGCATGAGAAGATGGGGATTCTGCAGGTGAATTTAATTATTCCTTTCTCAGAGAAAGCAGGAGTCAATAAGGCACCACTCACCCTCCATTAGCTACCTGGGATGCACAGGGCCAACAAGAAGCCAGGAAGCATCATTTACTCCAAGCTAAGCAGGAACAGCACCATTACACCCAAAGAAAAGCTTAACATGAAGTAATTTCTACCAACACTTTTCTGACCTTAACTGCATACTACAAAAGCATCACACGGTCCTTCTAACAACAGCTATACCCAAGCAATTAGAGCTGAATGAACAATTCATAATGAATAATCGGTCTGGCAAACTTCACTTCATTTTATGCTCACAAAATGCTCACATGCAGATGCAAAGTTCTCACATTTCTTTGTCAATGGATTTAACTTGCCATTTTTTTTCCACTGAGCAAATAGCACCGTAACAGTTCACTGAAAATCTGTATTGAAATGTAGGCTGGGTGGATGGATTATACCAGTCCAGCTCCTCCATTGGATGAGGGGCTGTAATGGCTCCAAGAAATGCAAATCAGGACTGTTACCTGTCATGTCTGAAATTCCTACTTTGTAATATTTATCAGCACTGGATCACGTTGACTGGACTGAGTATCAGCCATGGATATGGACAATGTGGTCCTCTACAGCTGATGGAGAGGGCCAGGTATCTTCAGAGGCCACTGGAGAGGTGGACACCGAGGACACACTGGAGAACCTGGAGACCTTGAGAGGAAGAACCTGACTCCCTTAAACAACCTGCTTAACTCTCTGTGCCCAGTGCTGGCCGGGGCAGGCCAGAGGCTGTGGAGAAAGGGGCACAGGTGTGCAGCCCAGGAGGGGGAAGCAGCTCGTGGGGCTGGACCAAGGGTGGCAGCTGACCTGCTGGTGGCTAATGAAGCCGAGAACAATGTGTGCTCTATCACACTGAGACACGCAGGGAGATAAGAGAGTGAGGGACAATAAATCAGGCTTTCAAAGCAGAGCATATTAGGAGATCAATGGGACAGATATTAGACCAAAGGAGCAAAAACCAGAGAGACAGGAGCAATTCTGTTCCTCCTCCTTCTCCCCCGTTGCTAAGGATTTCTTTTCCCCCCCCATTTAATAACATCCTCATTGTTTTTAAATGAGCAGCAAAGCCGGTGGGTTCCACGTGGCATTAGCAATGTGTTTGTGAAAGGGAAAGCGACTGGCTCCTAGCAGGATTTGATAAAAGCCTCTCCAAGCTCTCAGTGATTTACAGCTCGAGAAAACAAACACGGACTGATACAAATGCAGAGAGAGGCAGAGCCTGCACCGACATCCAGGTACACTCAATTACCAATTCATCAGCCCAAGTGAACTTGAAGGGCTTTTCAAACTCTACACGGCTCTAAATTAAAGGAAATCTTTAGATGGATAGCATTCTGCAATAGGGGAGAAGAAGACTCATTTCTTGATCTTCAGCTCAGGAGCCCTCGCTTTTCCTGGGCAAAGAGCCATGGGCAAGAGGGGCAGGCAGCAGCTCCCACTCCCCACATGGGACCAGGGAATGGACCAACCATCGGGATGCTGTTCACACACTCTTGCAAAGCTGCCAGCACACAGCTCTCCCTCCCCCCTCACCATGTCAGTCCCCAAACAGCCTTTTTTTAACCTGTCTCTACTAAAAACTTTGCTTTCCTGCCCTGGAGGTATTCATGGCAAAGCTGTGAAAATAACTGATTTTTTGGATCATTGGCTGAACTGAGAAAAAAAAAAAAAAAAAAAAAAAAGAAAAAGGATCACTTCACAGTGACCCCAAATTGGAATTGTCCAGGCTCTCCATGGAAAAATAAATATAGAAAAAAAAATATATATCTATGGTCAACCAATTGTTTAATTCAATCTGAAACTAACTCATGGGGAATGTCATTTTCCCCTCCATCTCCTGCCTAGAAACTCACTTTTTCACAAGAAGAGATGATTTACAGCTTGCCAGCTCCACGCTCCAGCGGCACTGACACCAGCACAGTGTTTCATATCTTCCCCTGCTCCATGAAGCTCCTCTGTGGTGGAGGAAAGGGGCCTTCAGTGCTATTCTGATAAAAATTCAGAGGCATCTGGGGGTAGCAACAGCACCATAGGAATGGAGTGAGTCTGGCTGCTGAGAGACTGCAGGAAACTCTTTGTTAACTGTTCATGCAGAAACTGTTTTGATTTTGGTGCCTAACTGATATCTTGGGGAAATGGCATCTTTGGAAAAGGCAGCGCATCCTCCCCAGACCCCACCTCTGTGTGCTCAGGAGAGGGGCCCCATGCTGCCCGTGCTGATGGAGTGACTTACTGTCCCCAAGGCTGTGTTGCTGTCCCCATCTCCCTGCTCCATGTCCTCATCCCACGGGTTTGGAGAGCTGAACCAGCTGAACCAGAGCCCTGGGGCAGCTGGAAGGGTGGGTGCTGAGCTCCACTGCCGCTCAAGCCTTTGGCAGAGAGGAGACCTGGGAGAGTTTTGTGCCAAGATGCCTGTTCATCAGCAAGGAGAGCTGTGTCAGCCTCCAGTCTCACTCAGGAGTAGGGACTGCCTGCATCCCTGTGGAAGCTGCCAGCATCATCCCTCCTCCTGCCAGAAGCAGCATCAAGCCCTTAATTTTCCACTGGATATCAGCCCTCCTCTTTCCTCTGGCCTCCTCCAAAGACAGCAGCCATCGCTCACACATGCAGCTCCAAGGCTGGCTCTGAACTATTTAAAAGCACAGCAGGTATTTTAATTATTCACGTCAAGCGCGCCTTGCTTGCTAACGACTCTCTGAAGCTGTCATAGCTGCTCGGGGTGGAGCAGAGCCCTGCCAGCAGCTTCCCACGGCCCAACCTCAGGGCAAAGCCTGGGTCTGCAAAACAGCCATGATCCGCTGTTGTCGCTGAGGGCAGAGGTGGCACAGGGGCACTTGGCAGACCTGTCCGGCCTCACGCCCATTTGCCCACCCAACCCATCATCCAACCTCCTGCCCAGCCTGCCTGGCACCTCACAGCCTCCAGGGTGGGGGATCTGCTGAGTGTTTTGCTGTTACTGTGAGCTGCTGCAC